GGGGAATGAGAAACCAAACACCCTAACCTCATCCCTTACAAAGAACATGTTTGACATTGCTCCCACAGTTTGAGAAGATTACCTTCGAGCATTTCCCGCGAGAAGAAAATCAGCTAGCAGACGCGCTAGCCACAATGTCATCTATGTTTAAACTTAAATGGGATAACGAGGCTCCCCAGATCACCATTGAACGAATGGAGGAACCATCACACTGTCACGAGATTAATACTGAAGAAGTAGTGGACCAACCTTAATTTCACGAATTCAAGAGGTATCTCGAGGTTCAAGAATATCATGAAGGAGCTTCAGTCAATGATAAGAAGTTCTTAAGGAGATTCTCTGCTAAATTCTTCCTTAGTAATGGCATTCTTTACAAACGCAACCATGACTTTGTGTTACTTCGGTGCGTAGACAAGGTTGAAGCTGAAAGAATCATGGCTGAGTTACATGAAGGCACTTTTGGCACCCATTCCAGTGGGCATACGATGGCAAGGAAAATCCTACGGGCAGGCTATTATTGGTCTACCATGGAAGCAGATTTTTATCAACACTCTAGAACTTGCCACAAGTGTCATATTTATGTTGACAAGGTGCACGTACCTCCGGTTTCTCTGAATGTATTGACGGCTCCTTGGCCCTTTGCTATGTGGGGGATTGATATGATTGGGGAAATCAAACCAACAACCTCCAATGGACACCGCTTCATCCTAGTGGCCATTGACTATTTTACCAAGTGAGTGGAGGCAGTTTATTTCGCTTCCATTACCAAGAATGTTGTAGCCCGGTTCATTAAGCAAAATCTCATATGTCGATACGGTATCCCGGAGAGGATCATTATAGACAATGGTACAAATTTGAACAATACTATAATCACAGCTTTGTACGAGCAATTCAAGATCCAGCATCACAACTCTTCCCCTTACCGGCCAAAGATGAATGGTGTTGTCGAAGTCGCGAATAAGAACATTAAAAATATCATACAGAAAATGACAGTCACATACAAAGACTGGCACAAGATGCTACCATTCGCTCTCCACGGATATCGTACCACAGCTCACACATCAACCGGGGAAACACCCTATTCTCTGGTTTACGGCATGGAAGTTGTCTTGCCTATTGAGGTCCAGATCCCCTCTCTGAGAATTATGAAGGATGCAGGGCTGAATGAAGAAGATTGGATCCAGACTCGACTTGACCAACTAAACTTGATTGATGAGAAAAGGCTTGCTATTGTCTGCCATGGTCAAATGTATCAAAAACGGATGATCAAGGCTTTCAACAAAAAGGTCAGACGGCAAGTGTATCAAGTCGTGGATTTAGTGATCAAACGTATCATATTTCCGCAAGGTGACCCCAAGGGAAAATGGACTCCTACATACGAAGGACCGTTTGTAATAAAAAACATATTCTCTGGTGGAGCAATGATCCTGACCACCATGGATGGCGACGACCTGCCACACCCTGCAAACGCAGACATAGTCAAAAGATACTACGCATAAGAGACCCGCTAGGTTAACACACCTAGGCAAAACAAGGGCATCCCGACGGACCAAAAAGGTTCGGGAAAAAATTAGGGATAAAACAAAAAATGTACACCCGGCAAGTTGAAAACCCGAAAGGGAGACTTGGGCAAAAAAGGGTTTCCCGGTGGACTGAAAACCCGAAAGGGAGGTCCAGACAAAAGTTAGGGAACTAAAGCGTATGACTATGTCCCATTAGATCACCTTACGGACAACCTTTGGCTTCAACTGACAAACTCAAAGGTTCTGATCAATTCGATCATCTTCAGACGAGGCAACAAATAGACAAGATGCTCAGAGATACGAAGGCCATAGCAGAATGGGAACCCCATGGGATTATTGCACATAGCTATTTTTTCTTTGTATCAAAATTTTCATTTTTTACGACGACATTCTCTTACTAGAATGTTCATCTCATTGTAAAAAATACTTACTCAAAGTCAATACAAAGATATCCCTTTGAAAGTGCAAAAACTATCTTTTTTCTTTACGCTTGTGTTTTGTTTACAAAAACGTCCAATGATTCATTTTTGAACATATGCATTTGAATATAATTGCTATTTACAAATAAACAAAATAAAAGACAATCACTGATGGCTTTAAGAGATGGGGAAATCTCTCTAAGTTATTTTCCATAATTCCCCACAGTATGCAGTTTAATCCCCAGCGGAATAGAGCTTCCAGTTATCAATCCCCAATGGAAGTCGTCAAATTTCTCAGGATTCCCCAACCATGATTTTTCAAACAGTACACGACATTCCCCTTACAACAGAGTTTATTCCTCTAAAAGCAGAAATTCATCAACACTTAGACTTCACAACATGAAGACTTATACTCCATATCCTCAGCAGCAGTCAGGGATTTACCTTCCCCAATCCAACAACAGCGTAACTGATTAGCTCACATACGCACACATTGCATCCATATACCATAAACATTGATGACACAAATGCATTACACTATGCATTTCATACAACATAACATTGCATATTAGCTAACATTTTATCTTTTCCAGGATAAGATTAATTAACAGCTACCATTAACAATGTTCAAAGTCTTTAGATACAGTTCAGATATGCTCCAGATATGGATGCCATCCTGATACTCATTCAGATTCGATCTTCAGATACAGTTCAGATACACTCCAGACACGGATGCCATCCTGAAACTCATTCAACTTTCAGATACAGTTCAGATACGCTCCAAACACGGATGCCATCTTGAAACTCATTTACAGTTCAGATATGCTCCAGATACGGATGCCATCCTGATACTCATTCAGATTCGATCTTCATATATAGTTCAGATACGCTCCAGACACGGATTCCATCCTGAAACTCATTCAACTTTCAGATACAATTCAGATACGCTCCAGACACGAATTCCATTCTGATACTCATTCAAAATCAGCTTCCAGATACAGTTCAGATACGCTCCAGACACGGATGCCATTCTGATACTCATTCAGTTTTCAACTTCTCAGATATAGTTCAGATACGCTCCAGACACGGATGTCATTCTGATACTCATTCAGTTCTCAACTTCCAGATACAGTACAGACACGCTCCAGACACGGATGCCATTCTGATACTCATTCAGATTCAACTTTCGGATAAAGTTCAGATACGCTCCATACACGGATGCCATCCTGAAACTCATTTACAGTTCATATACGCTCCAGACACGGATGCCATTTTGATACTCATTCAAATTCAAGTTTCAGATACAGTTCAAATACGCTCCAGGATGCCATCCTAATACTTATTCAGATTCAGCTTTCAGATATAGTTCAGATACGCTCCAGATACGGATGCCATCCTGATACTTATTCAGATTCAACTTTCAGATGCAGTTCAGATACGCTCCAGATACAGATGCCATCCTGATACTCATTCATATTCAGCTTTCATATGCAGTTCATATATGCTCCAGATACGGATGCCATCCTGATACTTATTCAGATTCAGCTTTCAGATACAGTTCAGATACGCTCCAGATACAGATGCCATCCTGATACTCATTCAAATTCAACTTTCAGATACAGTCTAGATACGATCCAGATACGAATTCTATTCTGACTCTCATTTAGTACATATCTCAGATATGAGTCATATATAATTCAGTACTTTTTCTATTTCAGATAAATCACTCTAAAGATTTATTCTGATTTGTTCCTACTTAAAATCAAGACCAGACTTAGTCCATTTTCTGTCAACAGTCACCCTTGGATGGCATCTGCAAGCCCATCTCCGATAATTATCCCTCATTTCATCCAATGGAATCTTTAAGCCCATTCCCGATACAATAGATTCAAAGCATTACTTCGTACACCAACAAGTACAAATTTTTGGGCACTCTAGTGTTCAATCATCTTCCACTTTCAAGTTACGAACGACAAGCATGCCAATCTCACTTTTCAAATTTAAGAAGATTGAACAGGGGCAGCTGTTGTACCCCAAAATTTTCCCTCCAATTTTTCATGCAGGATACTATCCTAGGCTTTCTAGTACACTCAGTTGGCTCAGAGGTCGATCATACAGATTCTCTTCCTAGGCGACAAATCAACAATTAGGGTTTGGTATTTCTCAAAGAAAATTGAGTTTTCAAAATTTCAAATATTCTTAAACACAATTTGCTGAAGTTTGTTAATTCTACAAGATTGACGAATATTCTTAAAACATGTTTGATAGACGATGAAGTCCCATTTTAATCAAGTATGACGTGTGAACTCATTTTGATTACCATTTAGACATTGGACAAAAGTTGAAGATTAAGGATTTTATTTTAAATGACCATGGTTTTTGGATTCAAGTTAACCAAGTGGAATTAAATTCTTAAACATTTATTTTGTTTTAGAAATTTGATTGGAGTACAAGGCGTTTATTTTGTTTGATCATTTTGGTGATTGTTTAAAGTACAAGTTACCTAAACCAAGGTATTTTACTCAAAGTATTCAATTGAGATTTTCAAAGTTCAATTAGAATTGGATATTGGTACAATAATTTCATCACACCAAATCTATTCAAAGGACATTGTGTTCATTACAAGTAAGGTGAATTTACAAATTTTGTTTTGTTTACAAAAAATGTTTTATTTACAAAAGGGAGAAATTCTGCATTGCTTCATCTTCAAACAACCCCTCCAATATTCGCTTGCCGCCCACGCCTCATGTTCATGAAATAAAGAAGAAAAGAAATTTAGCAAGCATTTCAAATAAAAAATTATATGTAAACCAAAGAGAGAAGAAATTCATCATTAGGGTCTAGGTTTAGGAATCAGATTTTAATGGCAAGCTGCAAACAAACAGCAGGGAAAGCTGCATAGCAGGAAACAAATAACAGCAGGGAAAACAACATGACAAGATGCAAACAAAAAGCAGGGCAAGCTGCATAGCAGGCAGCAAATAACAGCAGGGCAAACAACATGGAAAGCTGCAAACAAACAGCAGGGTAAGCTAAATAACAGGCAGCAAACAATAACATGGGAAAATTGCAACAAACAACAGGACAGACTGCAGCAAGCTGCCAGAATAAAACCCGTGCAAAACCTAAAGGCAACGAAGTATCAAGAGGTCAGAAAAAGAGGTTTTGTGTTCTAAAGCCTCAAACTAGGTCAACTTTTATCATAGGATAAAATTTATATTGCAAATCACAAAAATTGGTTTGGTTCACAATAAAATAAAAGGTGTAGATCAGAATTCATCAAGCAACAAGTACAGGTTTAATTCAGAAAACTGGTACAGCCAACAATTAAAAAAAGCCCCATACATATTGTTCCACAAAAAAATCAGGACCATACATCATTGGCTAAGGATAGTCTTTTGCAAATCTCAAATATTTGGTTCACAAAAGATAAAGAGGAAATCAGAAAATATCAAGTCAGCAAGCAAAAGCCTCATGCTGCTTCAAATTAGAAAATAGTCTCAACAGAAAACCAATACAAAAAACAATCAAGAAAAAGCCTCATATCTTGTTTGAACTCATAATTTGTAAAGTCATGTCATAGGCCTAGGGTACTTTACTACAAATCTTAAAGAAATATTTGGTTTGGTTCACAGTAAAGAGAAAAAGAATTTAGAAAAAATGTTCATCACAGTACAAGAGCTGTCAAACTCAGCTGTAAAAGCTCACAATTTTATCAAAGCCATAAGCCAAAAAGTCAAAAAACCAGAGAAGTACAAAAGCCAAGCAAGTAAGGCCTTAAAGCAAGCAAAGTCAACATAGCAAAAGTACAACAATATTGATGTATTAGAAACTAAAGTGACAAGTCCCAAACTAAAGCCCCCATCAAGTCAGTATCAGGAAACAAAGTGAAACAAGGTCACAATATAAAAGCAAATCATCGTCCAAAAATAGAGAAGGGGAGAGGGGGCCGAGCCACAACCTAAAAATTGCCATTCATTGTTTTTTTTAACACAACAACAAAATCCCACAATCCAATAGACAAATAGAAAAAAACCAAACAGAGTGATAACCATCAAAAAAACCTTCAAGATACGGAAAGGCATCAAAACACAAAACCCTAACCTAAAAAATTTGAATCAACATCTTCCTCAAACGTATCAAACCCCTTCAGAAATCTTCAATGAATCATTCATAGAAACACAGAGAGCGAGCTATCAAGTAATACAAACAGTAAAACACTAAGTTCATTCATCATTTTCCTTCCCAAGTCCCTTCACAAATTGAAAAGTTTCAGAGAAGCAAGAAGAAGATACGAGTTCAAAGGAAGTCAAAACAATCTCACCTAGAAATTTTCATAAGGTTGATAAATATCTGGATCTGGACGTAATGACTTTGTCTCTTCCTTTTCTTTCTCTTACTTTGTCATTTATTCATGAGTTTAGCACCATAATCATTGAACAAAGCACTCATTTGAGACTTAGGGTTGAAAACCCCTTTTTAGATCTAGCCTTCACTGTTGAGGATTTGAAAAAGTAAACCATAGATTAGAAGAGAGAATGAGAAGAGAAATTGATTTATGTAAAAAAAGGGATAGGAGCTTCGCCGCAGCCGTCGCCGCAGCAGGGCGAATTCCGGCGCGGCCATGTCGCCAACTCCGGTGAGAGCTCTAAGGAGAGGATGAGAGAAAACAAGTAACAACAGCATGAGACAGAGAGAGTGTTTGCTTAATAATTTAAGTTTTTATTTTATTTATTATGTTAATAACTTTGGTTTAGTGTCTAATACGGTGGTGACAAGTGTCACCACCCTTAATCACTTCTGGTATAGTTTGGTGTGTGTGTTCCCATTGTATCATCATGCACTTTGCTACTCATCAGCCATCAGATTTCATCATCATCGTTGTCTATGATCCATGATTGCGGTCCTACCATGCACTCTCTCTGGCAGCCATACTGGATCAGGTGCTTGGGCTACCCTTTATTTGGGCTTTCTGGACTCCTTTTTTGCACCCCCAGATTTCTACATTCAGGCCCAATTCTAAACTCTTTGATATTTCTTTTCTTTTTTTATTTTATTTTATAATTTACAATTATTTATTTTAATATATATACATATTAATATAATAAAAGTATATACTTAGTTTTCTTAATATTTTCCTTAATTAAAAAATCACAAAAAATATATTTAGATTTTAATTTTAATTTTCTTTTAATATTTCTTTACTTAAGAAACCACAAGAAATATATTTTCATTAAATTAAAAAATATTTTTATTTTACTAAATTAATTTTTATCATTTATTCTACAATATAAAAATATTTTCTTTATTAACCTTAATTAAAATCATTTTCTAAACAAAGTTAAATTTGACTTAGGTTTTCTATATTTATTATTATTATTTCAATGAACTTAGATTTAAGTTTTGCGAATAATTAATTGACTTTTCTTCAAAATTAATTAGCTTTAATTAGGTTAAAAAACTCATTAGAATCTTTCATAAAAAACCAAAAAAAAAATGATTCTCTTCTCTTTTACATTACCTTTACATTCTTATACATTTTACTTTGCAATATTCAATATGGATGTAGTATTAATTAGGTTTAAATTGCTTTCATCCCCATTTGTAATTTGTATCCCCATCCCCTAAATATCTTAATAGCGTAGTAACTTTAAATTTCGCAATTTATCGCTTTTATATAACATGCTAGTAATTAGGGTTTGTGTGGAAAGACTAAAACCAATGCTTAGAAAACCCTAATTCAAGACAAAAATAAGTATGAAAATGATGAACTTGCACACAAGCACCCCTAGTGTTATTCCACTTGGTTGCCTTATACAAAATGGCCATATTACGCATGTAAGGTATCTTAGCAAAAACAAGCAAGTACAAGATCATAGTCCCTCGATGACGCTATCTAAGTTGCCTTTCAAAAGATCTTAGTCCCTAAAAAATAATGCTAAGATACCTTGCAACATTGTTAATCATGGTTATACGATGACCCACGCCCGTCCCGTTTACATCCAAAGATAGGGTTGCTTACCAAATCAATGGTAAGAGAACAATGTCAAAGGAAAAGAAAATGAACAAGAAGTACATTTGAGTAGGTAGATCGCTCCTAATTACTTGCTCCATTCCAAAACAAACATCCTTGCTATTTCCAAAAACAAACACCTACACTTTCAAAACATATTACAAAACTTGAAAACATTTTCAAAAGATCAACATCTTTGTATACATTCTTACGAACAAGAATCATTACAAAGATTGCCTAAACGATGGCCTCTTTTACAAAATACTTTAAAAAAAACTACACAAAGCACAATTTCAAACAAAAGCAAGTGATTTAGCAAGTAACTAAGAGCCCGTGGATAACCATGGATGAAAAAGGTGCTAATACCTTCCCTTTTCATAATCTACCCCCCGAACTCAAGAAATAATCTCAAAGGTCTTTCCTGTGCTTTTTCACCTTTCCTTTTGGATAAAAGAAAAGTCAGTGGCGACTCTTGCTAACCACAACATTTGCAATCAAACGCAAAACACTCAAGTCAGTTCTCCCACTGTATCACAGCCAGGGTCAGCAGAGTCTCTTGAAACTAGGAATTTTGTGCTTGTAGGTCCTTCACTGTTTTCTCGATATCCATCTTACTGAAATAAACAGCAAAAAGATAAGGAGACCTATTGTGGAAAACTTGTTTATGTTATGATGCATGAAAAATGCACATGCAAATGATTTCAAATATTTATAAGATTTAAATTTGTCTAGACAAAGAATGAACAAACGTCAAATTGCATTAATAAGTTCAAAATGGTTACAACATGCCTCTTGGGCTTATAAAATAAATTCCTAAGACAGGAAGGTCGAACGCATCCTCTTTGGTGCAATGTAGGTGTTCAAGCTTTATTCTTCACGAATTTTCCTTGTAAGTTCCAAAACCCTTTTCTCGCTTGCGTAGAACTGAGCTTCAAAGGTGTCTCGCTCTTCCTTTAGCTGAATCCAACCCTTCTGCAAGTCTTCAAGAGAAGTAGGCATGTTGGGATAGAGGACAGTATATGGTACATCTCCTTCAGCAATAGGTTCCATGATAACATGTAGGATGGAGGGGTAAGGCATTACGAGCTTCTGAGCACGAGCTCTTACCCACCTAAGGTAAGGCTCAAGGGGAATAGAATTCTTGTGTCCCAGTGTCTAACTATCTGCTCTATTTACCATCCTCCAAGCTCGTACAAACCTTTGATGGTAGCCTTGATCATCGTTGTCGTAGTAGAACACCACTCCTTGGATGAGCATATCATGAGGACCATCTCTTTGGGCATACCCAAACTGTTGCAAAGCTAAGAAAGGGTTGTACGTGATACCTCCTCTAATGCCAAGCAAAGGTACATTAGGGAATTCCCAAAATGTTCTATGATAGTAATATTCTCCAAGGACTGAGAACACTAGTGAATATCTGAATGTCTGAGTTACATCAACCTATTGGACCACCTTAAACCTTGCTCGTTCTTCACCATGGATCATGGGAGGTACGAAAAAACCACCTAGCCAACAGAGGAGTGCAACACATAAGGGACCCTCTTCTCTTCATAGTACGAGAGTGGAGAGAATGTAGGATATCTGCCAACAAAGTAGGCACTGGATTGCAAGTTATGAAGATTTTGACAGCATTCACATCTATAAGTTGGTCAGGATTTAGAAATAGTACCATCCCATAGATGAGAAGGGCCAAGATTTCTTCAAAATCTTATAAATCTAGAGTGTTCCAACAATCTTGAGCTTTCTTAAACAAGAACTTGGCTAGGAACCCTTTGACACCACTTCTTGTTTCCCAATTAGTCGTGACGTCGGGTCTTTGCAAGTGTAAAGCTCGGGCAATCTCTTCAGGGCTTGAGTCTCTTTCAATATCGTTGAAAGGTAGTTGATTAAGAATAGGAATCCCCAAGAGTTGATAAAATTCTTCCATAGTAGGCACAAGCTGGTAATCGGGAAAGGTAAAGCAATGGTGCAAAGGGTCAAAGAACTGGAAAAACACCTTCATCAGGTCTTCCTCGATGCTCGAGGTAACCAAGTTTAGGAGTCGACCATGTCTTTTGGTGAATGAAGAACTCCTAGGAACCCTCAATGCTAAGTCTTTTAGTTGAGAAGGAATTCTTACAAGATTGACTTGGATAGTATTCCTGCGGGTGGAAGCCATATCCTACAAAATAGAACAGAGATAAATCCCAAAAAAAATCCTTAAAATGGTTAATGCAAAATGCAATGGTATGATGTTATGATGTTATGTACAAGTAAGCATATACACAAAAATCAAATAAGTCGTTAGGTTTAGGCTTGCATGGAGTTTATAGGTAAGTACCCTCTTGAAGTTTAGCTGGCTCAACCTGTCCTAGTAATAGTAACCGGGTTCTAGGAGACCTCAATATCACTGATCTTTCTTCATCATGCATTGTTTCAGCGTAAGCCTATTTAATGGCGACCGAAATATCCCGAAAGTCCGATCTCAATGAGCGTAGTATCTAGTATCAACCAACTTCGAACTGCACCAAAGCCGACTACCTCACTACTTCCTAAAGGCCATGTTGTTCAAGTAAAGTTCTAAAGTCAGTTAGTGCTTCATGACACCACATAGTGGCCCCGTATTATCGTTGACTACTCAAGGGCTACCGGTACCAACAAATATGTCATACTAACGTAGATATTGCTTAGACCATGTCGGTATACCCCTCACAGTTTCCACAACTTATTGCTACTTACCTAAAAGGTGTCCCAGATCCGGGTAGAGGATCAAAACAAGACCAAACAAAGAACCATAATATAAAGAAACAAGTCAAACAAAGAAAAGCAAGTAAAGGTGATCTAGCCCTAAGGTAACCCCACTTTTAATTTCTTCCCCAACAGAGTCGCTAGTTCTGTAATACGGTGGGAGAAATGAATTGGGTGTTTTGCGTTTGATTGCAATTGTTGCGGATAGCAAGAGTCACCATCGACTTTTCTTTTATCCAAATAAAGGAAAAGGTGAAAAGAACAAGAAATACCTTTGAGATTATTTTCTTGAGTTCGGGAGGTAGATTATGAAAAGGGAAGGTGTTAGCATCCTTTTCATCCGTAGTTATCTACGGGCTCTTAGTTGCTTTCTAGATCACTTGTTTTGTTTAAAACAATGTTTGTGGTGGATTTTGAAAGTATTTTTGAAAAGCGCATTCATTTAGGCAAACTTTGTAATGATTCTCGTCTCTATAAGAATGTATGCATAGTGTTGGACTTTTGAAAATATTTCATATTTTTGAAAAGTATTTGGTGTATTTGAAAAGGTGTTTGTGTTTGAGGATGAGCAAGCAACTAGGAACATTCTACCTTACTCAAAAGCCTTTTGTTCATTTCTCTCTTCCTTTGATATTGCTATCTCACCATTGATTGGTAAGAAGCCTTATCTTTGGATGTAAAAGGGACGGGCATGGGTCATCACATAGTCATGAATAACAATGTTGTAAGACATCTTATCATTTCTCTTGAGCAACTAAGATCATTTGTAAGGCAACATTCGAAGCGTCATCGAGGGACTATGATCTTGCATTTTTGATTGTTTTTGCTAAGATGTCTCACATGCATTAGATGACCACTTTTCATAAGGAAACAAGTGGAGTTAACCCTAGAGGTGCACGTGTGCAAAGTGTGTTTGATTGCATACATTTTTGTCCTTTTGATCAAGTTGGTCTACTTGTTGATTTTATCTTGCCATACACCGTAATTACTAACATTTGTATAAAGTAAAAAAATGCAAAAAGATAAAATCCTACACTATTACAATCATATTGAATTACATGAAAATGTAAAGGCAAAAATAAGATAAAAGCAAGAAAAAGGGTCTTTTCGATTTAGGCAGAACACCCTTCGATTCTGCACTTTTTGGCTCTCTTCGATCTGGATTGAAAAGGGTGAAGGCAAGACTTTCGATTGGGGGCCTGGAGGCCAGCATGTTGAACCTTTCGAATGGGCCTGGAGTCAACGTAGGCGCAATCTGCCTTTCTGCCTCCTTCAACTGGGATTGAAAGCAGTGAGGGAGTGCCTTTCGACTGAGGCCTGGAGGCCAGCATGTTAAGCCTTTCGAATGGGCCTAGAATCAGTGTGATGTGCCTTCTGGATGCCTCTTTCGTTTGACCTGAAGGTTAGTGTGGAATCTAGAGGCTTCATTTCCAACCTCCTGTCTCATGTTTCTTTCATTTGAGTTTGAATAGAAACATGGCCTAAGGCCATGCCAACATTACCTTAGGGCCAGGTTAGTCTTTAAAGCATGTTTAAAATGTACAAAGAGAAAAAACCAAGAAGGTTGTTAACTATGAAACATATTAAAAGGGTGGAAACGAAAAGAAGAACAATAGTATATACATGTTTGAAACAAAAAGAAAGCTTATTTACATGCTATGTTGGAAACGAAGGGTCCAAGGTTAAGAATGACTTACCTTGCTGGAGGCTGGAGCGTGTGCTGGACCTTGAAGTGGTTACCTTGAATGCTTCTGGATTTGAAGGGAGAGACCAAGGGTTATGCTTTTGACACTGGATTCGAAAGAGTAAAAACAAATGAAATGTATTTCTTGCTGGATTTGAAGGATATCAAGATGTAAGTACGTTTTAGATTTGAAGGAGACAAGTATTTGGATTCTGGATTTGTGTTTTCACAAGTGTTTTAAGTGTTTGGGAAGTTTGGGAGTAAAAATAATAAAATAAGGCTCAGCTGGAAAGTAAATGTACACTTGTGCAATGATCCCAAGATGAGATAGTAAGATGAATGGTTTAGATGGGTTGCTTCATGCAGAAGGAAAACAGGCGCAACGCTCAAGAAAAACTTTTCTAAAAGTAGTATTATACTATTAAGTGCAAGTGGTCTTGGACAACAAATGGGTACACTACAACATTTGTTGTCTCTGGCAACACTTTTTTAGGTAACATGTAGAAATTGTTGCCTTAAATTCATATAGGCAACGATTTACGATTGTTGTCAAAAATATGTTTGCAACCCTTGATAATCGTCGCCTAAAATACTTTTGGGGACGTTTATGGAGCGATACTCTTTTATTTTTTTGCCAACGGTTGTTAATTGTGCCCTTAACTGCTTTTGGGGACGATTTTAGAGCGTTAAAATATTATTTCTTTAGCAATATTTGACAATTGTCCCCTAAAATATTTTTGGGGACATTTTTAGATTGTTACATTAGTTCTAATAAAAGGCTACATTTCTGAAATGTTGTATAAATTTTTTTAGAATTATCAATTTTTTGGTGGCAATCTTCCCTCCAAAACTTATACACTAAAAAACAAATATTTTTCTCTAAACATTATTAATATATATAAAAAAAATATTTTTCTAACACAGGAATTTAAAAATAAAAAATTTCAATTAAACAGAAAATAAAAAATTATATATATATATATATATATATATATATATATATATATATATATATATATATATATATATATATATATATATATATATATATATAATATATATATATATATATATATATATATATATATATATATATATATATATATATATATATTAGTCTAAAACTTATATATATTTCAATTAAACAGGAATTTTTCTAACACATTATTAATATTTCTCTAAAACTTATATATATATATATATTTAAAAAAATTCATTAAACAGAAAATAAAAAATTTTCTAACACGGGAATTTAAAATATTTTTCATTACTAGTCCTCTCAATTATTGCCACGTCTTATTAAAAAGAATAGAAAATAAAAATAAAAAAAAAAGAAACAGATAAGGAAAACAAAAGCAGCAGCTTTCGATTCTCCTTCTTTTTCGTTCACACATTTCGCCGAACCTAGCCGCGCTCTCAGACGCTCCGTCCTTCATCCGCTCCGAGTCAAACCTCTTTCATTCACACCCTCCGCCGTGTTCTTCGTCACTCCGTCCAACTGCCACGCCGTGTTCGTCGTCCACGTCGTCGTTCGCCGTCCAATTGCTTTCGTCCACGTCGTCCGCCGTCCACGTCGTTCGCCGTCCACATCGTCCAAGTCGTCCAAAGAATTGCTCAGAGCAATTGCATCAATTGCTCAGAGCAAAGAATTGTCTGCTCTATGTCAAAAGATTATCCATTTGATACCGAAAAGACAACTTCAAAGGTAAGTCAAAGATTTTTTTAATAAACCTATAGAAGTTAAGTACTACGTTGATAGATCTACCGAGTCTTAATTGAAATTGAAATTTATTGGATTGAATAAAAACTTTAACCTCAAGCATGTTAAAGCTTTTTTACTAAAATCTTAAGGTGTTTAGCCGAAGTATTGAATGCAAATTTCATGATAGAGTTATTAAGTTTACACTTGATGATTTTGATCATAATTTTGGGCTTGACTGTAAGGTAAAAGATATATATATATATATATATATATATATATATATATATATATATATATATATATATATATATATATATATATATATATATATATATATATATATATATATATATATATATATATATATATATATATATATATATATATATATAAAATATATTTTGGGCTTGACTCACAACTGGGAAAGGGTTGATGATCGTGATTTATATCTAATATGGATTATGTTAACCAATGAGCAATTTGACTGAGTTAGGTTTATATTGGATAGGATTCACCATTGCAAAAATTACCTGAAGAGATCATTGTTCTTTTCATCTTTATTCAATTCTTTCTGGAACTGAATGGTATTCTTTCTGATGATGTTGACTTGGTTGAAGCTCTAAAAGTTGTTGAAAATCTACTATCAAGCTAATGAGGTATTTTCCTGATGAGAATGGTTTCTATTAGTTTCTTGACAATAATGGAAGGTATGTGTATGAGGATAGAATTGTAGAGTCGAAATAAGTTTTGTCAAAAAGGAAGAAGTCAGTGTCTATTTCTGATCATGTTGGTACATCATTTGATTTGTCTTCATTGCTTGATGGTTTATTGTTTGCTAGTGCTAATGAAATCCTACTTTGATGAATAGTTTAGCAATATTCTAGTTGATTCCCAGGCCTGAGAATCTTGTATTCATGCTCATATTATTTTGGTAGAAAGGGAAGCCAAGGCAAGGGAAGATAAGATCAGAGAGGAAATTAATTAGTAGTACTACCTTTTCTTGAATTGAAATTAATTACATGAAATTGTTTTTTAGGAGTAGTAAATTTATTTTGTTATTTGAATATGTATATGGCAATTGTAGTAGCAGATTAGTAAAAGGGACATGACGGGTATTGGGTAGATATTCTGTCAATTGTAGTAGCAGATTAGTACCAGACGAAATTCTATTCAATTTCTTTCACAAGGTTGATGGAAAATGATGGAAAAGATACATAAACACTTTCACAATTTCAATCAATATAAATATTACAGTACTCCCATGTTAATGTTTTTTTTTTATGTGCAAGTAGGTTTCTTATTTTGATCTTGATCTTTGTAACTCATAATTGTGTACATTTCACATGTGGCTTTTCACACAATTTACTTGCATTCTGTTTTGGTTGATACTTTATTACGTGCATGATGCGGTTCGCGCAATGTTAGCTTAGTTTCTTTTGAATTGTCACTGTTAAGGTGTTCATGTATATGTGTGTTGTTGTACGGTGTTTTACGGTTTGGTGTTGTTTAGTTTGGACAACATAATTGTGTATGTATTAGCCACAAGAGAACTCTCCTTTAAATTGGACAGCATATATAATTGGACAGCATAATTGTTTTACGATTTTACTATGAGCGATGCTCATTGTTTTGTTAGCATGAAGTTTATTAGCCACAAGAGAACTCTCCTTTAAATTGGACAGCATATATAATTGGACAGCATAATTGTTTTAACTCTCAGTATGTTTTATTGGACAACATATATAATTGGACAGCATAATTGTTTTACGATTTTACTGTTAGCGATGCTCATTGTTTTGTTAGCATGAAGTTTATTAGCCACAAGAGAACTCTCCTTTAAATTGGACAGCATATATAATTGGACAGCATAATTGTTTTAACTCTCAGTATGTTTTATTGGACAGCATATATAATTGGACAGCACCATGTGCATATATAATTGTTTTACGAAACTCTCCTTTAAATTGGACAACATATATAATTAGTTAGATAACTCTCCTTTAAATTGGACAGCATAATTGTTTTAACTCTCATTATGTTTTATTGGACAGCATATATAATTGGACAGCACCATGTGCATATATAATTGTTTTACGAAACTCTTCTTTAAATTGGACAGCATATATAATTAGTTAGATAACTCTCCTTTAAATTGAACAGCATATATAATTGTTTTACAAAACTCTCAGTATGTTTTATTCATGGTGGTATTCTATTCCTTTAAATTTTATATGATTAGTTAGATAAATTACTTTCTACTCTTTAAGTTTTGCATGAGTAAATACCTATATTATTCCGTGGTGGCACTTTATTAGATAACTATTACAATATTGGTTCTTTGTTCAATTTTGTTTAATAAGTTTGTAATTGTAATTGCATTTCATTTTCTCATTTTCTAATTATTTGTCTTTAGATCATTCACCGTCGTTGTTTCGGTTAAACCTCAATAGATATTTCATCGGTTTCAACATTGTTTGGGAAAGAAACGTCTCCGTTTCATTTACTAGCTTTGTTGTTGTTGTTGCAGTGAAGGAAGTTGTGTTGAAATCGAAGTCGCTTGTAACTAAGGACAAGATTTTAGTTTCTATTACTGCTGGAATCAAGTTGAAAGAATTCAGGTAACAGCTACATATTATATAGTTTGAAAAGAAACAACAAATACATATTATATTAGACTATGAAATGTTTGTGCATGTTTAGATTAAAAGTTCACCAATTTATTCTATGTTTGGTATTGGAATGCATGTTTAGTGTATATTTAGATTATAAATGAAATTTTTATAATAACTATGCATTTGTAAAAGCTACGTTGATATATGAACCATGGTGTTTTTCCATCCTTTATATGATAAAGAGTAATGTATAATTTATTTCATTTTAGAAAACCAAACATGATAAAGAAGGATTGGGTGGAGTTACCTCCACACAGTCAAAGTTATAAGGACGGTGTAAATTACTTTTTGGATATTGCATTCACCAAAGGAATGGTTGAAGAAGAAGAGATTTTGTGTCCTTGTTCTGTATGTTGCAATGATAGTTGGGAAGTAAGAGATGTAGTGTATGACCATTTATGTAGTAAAGGATTTGTAAAGGGATACACTGAATGGACTTATCATGGTGAAGATGAGAGTCTTATAGATCTTGATGGTGATAGTGATGATGAAACATCATCTCATGATGATATCGATGGCTTACTATTTGAGACATTTAAAGATGTGGCTGAAGGAGGTGGAGTACATGAAGGGATAAATGAAGATGCAAAGAAATTTTATGAACTAGTTGATGATGCAAATCAAGAGTTGTATCCTGGTTGTGAAAAGTTTTCCTCGTTATCATTCACTATTCGAATTTATTTGTTGAAATGTCTCCATGGATGGAGTAATGCATCATTCACTGCTCTCGTAGAGTTGTTAAAAGAGGCTATGCCAGATTTGAACATCCCTGTCTCTTTCAATAAAACAAAATCTATGATAAAAGATTTGGGCTTAGACTATAAAAAGATTGACGCATGTCTGAACAACTGCATGTTGTTTTGGAAAGATCACGAGAAAGATGATTCATGTCATATTTGTGGCACGTCAAGGTGGATTGAATATCCTGAAGTTGCTAATGATCTTGAAGAATCTATAAAAGCTCATAAGGTTCCCGCCAAAGTTCTAAGACATTTTCCATTGATTCCAAGATTGAAAAGACTTTTTATGTGTTCAAAGACAGCTGATACATTGAGGTGGCACGCAGACCATCGTTCAAGGGATAGGAAGTTAAGGCATCTAGCTGATGCCCAAGCATGGAAAGACTTTGATGCCAAACATTCATATTTTACTCGTGAAACTCGTAACATCAGACTTGGGTTGGCAAGTGATGGGTTTATTCCATTTAGGACCATGAGTCTTTCACATAGCACATGGCCTGTTGTATTAACAGTATATAACTATCCGCCAAATTTGTGCATGAAGGCTGAAAATTGTTTGATGTCGTTACTTATTCCTGGACCAAAGTCACCCGGAAATGAAATTGATGTGTATTTGCAGCCACTTATTGAGGAGCTTAAGATATTGTGGGAAGTCGGTGTAGAAACATATGATATTTCAAAAATCAATCATTTCAAACGCGTGCAGCTCTTATGTGGATTGTGAATGACTTCCCTGCATATGCTATGTTATCCGGTTGGAGTACTAAAGGGAAGTTTGCTTGTCCTGCTTGTAATCATAAAACTTCTTCAAGATACTTAAAACATAGTCGAAAGATGTGTTATATGGGTCATCGAGTCTTTTTGGATTCAAATCATAGTTGGAGATCAAATTCAAGTTCTTTTGATGGAAAGCCAGAATATAGGTCTGCACCCTCCTTGTTAGATTCAACAATGATTTTAAAAGACTTAGAAAAGATTCCTGACGTAGTGGGGCAAAAATATCATAAAAAAGGCCTGGTCCATGGAAGAAAAAGTCTATCTTTTGGCAATTACCATATTGGAAGGATAATTCTTTGCGCCATAATGTAGATGTTATGCATACAGAAAAGAACATTTGTGATAATATAATGGGGACTCTCTTAGATAATGAAGGGAAGAAAAAGGATCATGCAAAAGCTCGTTTGGACCTACAACACATGGGGATTAGAAAAAAACTCCATTTGAAGGAAACAAGTGATGGTAAGAAAACTCAAATCCCTAAGGCATGTTTCTCCCTAACAAAGCAAGAGAAAACTATTTTTTGTAATGTTTTAAAGACAGTAAAACTTCCTGATGGCCTTGCATCCAATATTTCTCGATGTGTTCAAGTTAATGAAGGAAAAGTTTCTGGATACAAGAGTCATGATGCTCATATTATATTGCATTACTTGTTGCAAGTAGCAATAAGAGGGATAGTCCCTAATCAAATTGTTATCCCTTTGCTTCGACTTTGTTCATTTTTTCGGTGTTTATGCCAGAAGGTTATAGATGTGAAATCATTGGATTACTTGGAAGTAGAAATTGCTGAAACACTTTGCCAATTTGAGCGTATCTTCCCTCCGAGTTTCTTTGACATAATGGTTCACTTACCAATTCACCTGGCAAATGAAGTCAGATTGGGTGGACCGGTTCAATTTCGATGGATGTATTATATGGAAAGATATTTGGGTGATTTAAAATCTTTTGTTCGTAATAGGAGTCGTCCAGAGGGTTCTATCCCTGAAGCATACTTAGTTAAAGAATCTCTAACATTTTGTTCAAGATATTTGTCTAGTGCTGTAGACACAAGGATGAATAGAATGACACGAAATAGCGATGATACTCCAAACATAGGTCATCCAATCGGGGGAAAGAAACTAATTTCCCTTGATCATAAGTCTCTAAACCATGCTCACGGCTACATTTTATTCAATTGCGATGAAGTGCAAGAGTACATTAGGTACACTCATCTACTTGATACAAAATTTCATTCTCACTATAAGTTTTCTTTTTCTTTTGTATTAAAATATTAGTTATTTATTTTGTAGAGAGCATGAGGTTAATGATCATAATCCTCTAAAAAAAAGGAAGTCTAGAAAAGCTAACAATCAAAGAGAAGATTTTATTCAATGGTTTGAAACACGTCTCATGGATGAGAAAGTTACTGAATGGTTGAAGGTGTTGTCTAGGGGACCAAATGATGTTGTTAGAAGGTATTCTGGTTATGTTATTAATGGATACAGGTTTCATACAACAAATCGTGAAGCAAGGCTTAAAACACAAAATAGTGGTGTGACATTAGAAGCGGTGACTCAAGTTCTTAGAAATGCGAAGGATGAAAATCCCAAAAAGATTTGTGTGACTTACTATGGGGCAATAAAAGATATTATAGAGTTAGATTATTATGGTCATGAAAAATATGTATTGTTCAAATGTGATTGGTTTGTGGATGAAAAGGATAAATATGGATCGCCGTTGGTTTACTTTAACAAAAAATGCTACAAAAATGATCCATTTGTGTTGGCATCTCAAGTTCAACAATGCTTCTTTATTGAAGATCCTTTAAACAAAAACAAACACTATGTTCTAAATGCACTTCCAAGGGAATCATTTGACATGGGAGAATCTTTAAGTACAGATGCCCAAGAATATGATATTTCAACAAATCTTAATACATTAAGGGATGATTGTGAATTGGATTTGGTTAGGAAAGATTTGCCGGATGATATCTTTGAAATTCCTTTGTCAGAACTTCACAACCAAAAAGCAATAGAGAGTGATCATAGTGACACGAGTTATGGAAGTGACGATGAAACCGATTATGATTCTAGTACTGATTAGGTAGCATTGGCAATGTGTTTCTAGTATTGATTATGATTCAAAGTTTAATTTATGGTTACGCATGCTGTCATTTTTTTACTTAAACCATAACAAACTAGATTCAAATATACTGTTAATTTATGGTTATGCATAATGTCAATTTATACTCAATTTTTCATTATTTAATTATGTAATTTTCTCCCTTTGTAGATCATAGTTGTTGGCCATAATGGACAATGTAAGAAGTGTAAAAGATGGTGGATCACATAGGAGGAGTGGTCGAAGTCCTACTAAAAGATTTGATTTTCCTCTTCAAGTCAGATCAAGTGCAGAATTGACAAAGAAAGTGCTACAACATGTTAAGAAAGAAAAAATTGACAAGTTACATGAGATGCTACAGGGAAACAATAGAGAAAGGGTTCAGGAAATTATAGAAGTTGTGGACGGTAAATCATTTTTCTTGTTTCATTTGATTTTATATAAAATGATGTATGTTAAAGTTATGTTTTGGAATTCCTTTAGATATATTATTCCTACTATTTTTTAATGAATTTTTACAAAAATTAGAAACACCAAAAAAAGGAACTCAACAAGAAAGAGTTCAAAAGGTTGATCACAATTTGGACAAAGAGACTATTGCAAAGAAAATGGAGATAGACAAACTCTCGCAACCAAAAGTAATGAAAGATCATGCACATGGTGACAAAGAAGTTGTACAAGGTAAGTGATTTTTAAATTTTTCTATTATTCATATATTACATGAAATTATTCCTAATATCTTTTGGTGAATTTTTACTAAAATTAGAAACACCAAAGAAAAGAACTCAAGTGAAAGCTACAGTGAATAGAGAAAGAATTCAAAAGGTTGATGGAAAATTGGACAACCACATTGCTATGAAGAAAGCAGAGAGACCTAAGCTTTTGCAACCACAAGCTAAGGAAGTTCTTGCACATGGAAACAAAGAAGTTTCACAAGGTAGTTAATATCCCTGCATATATTTTAAATTTATATATTTCTTTTCATGACATTATTATGACGAGAAAATTATATTGAAACCAGGAATGCTGAAAAAAAGAATTCATGAGAATCTACTAGAGAACAATAGAGATAAAATTCAAAAGGTGGAAAAACCAGTTGCAAGGAGAATACTTATTTCTTCCAAAAATAAGAAACTAGAGAAATCTACTCTATCTTTGGACACAATGATGTCAAAAGTTGAATGCTCTCAAAAGCTAAACAGGGTGCCAAAATGCCCATCAATGTTGATTGATGATTATGTAGATCTTCACAAGTCAAAGGAAATGGATGCAACCAAG